GAAGTGCCCCCTTCAAAGTGAAAATAATCAAGTAAAGGTAAAAATATGGAGGGGTTATTAAGAATCTTCTCATGAACCACTGGGTCAGAACGTATTCGATAACTTCCTGACATAAGGTGGTAGGTTATAAATTGTTCAAAACATAGCTCCCATGGATAGGATGGGATCACAATATGGGATCATAGTTTTGCATGTGAATTTATAGGAAAATATCTTTAAAAAATTTCTCCAGAGGCAATGTGGACCAATAATTGATATTTTCATTATACTTAGTCGTTTATAATTAAAATGAATCACCATTTTAAATTCATCTTCTTATTTAGTATTTTGAAACATTGTAACTCAATTTACATTTATTTGATTAATAAATAACAGCGAAAAATCGTGCTTCTGTAGGTGTTGGGGAATATTCTTTTACGTACAATTTGTACTCTTATACACATTTCGTACATTCGCTATATAAGGCCACTTAATCACTCTGAGTTAGCAAGATTTAGAAAAGAAATTAATAAACTATATCCGCCTTTCTGTTATCGTGGGATCTATGTCTTATACTCCCCCAGTCTTTCCTTTGAACAAAGTACAAAACTCTTTTGTGAACTCATTATTTATATTGTAATATTAAGTGGGGGATATCACTGGTATGCCTCCTTCTTTAAGTCTTTTCTGTATAAAAAAGGGGCGTACATCGCCCTTCGAAAATGGAAATCTTAACCGTGTGTTTCAATTTGACTAGAAAAGATATACAAAAGCTACAGTGAAGTTTTATTTAATTTTTTAATTCGTTTTAAGTTTCTGTAAATAATGAGCGCATTAGAAAATGTGTTATCGATTGGAATGTCAACACTGAGAGATAGGCGAACGTAATACTCCTAAAACAGATGAAAGACCGGCCAATGAACATATATGTTTGTCTTCAAACACAAGATTACTTTATAACAAAAGACGGAAAATCCTCGGAATCGGAATTAAATCATGAAACAGTTTTCATAAACTAACTCGGACTAGGGGGTTTCAATTTCAAGAAACTCGATATGTGCATAGGATTCCTCGGTTAGTGCTCATTCCTACTTCAGATTTACTTATTGACAGAAATGGCAGATTCAAATTTAGGTTTCAATCTTTATTTAACTAAAGCCCCCTCCCCAGTAATATTATAAACCTAAATACTACAAACACAGTTTGTTTGTTTTTTTGCTCATTAAATATAGATCAAGAATAACTATCAAGCAATGGTATTCCTATAACTTTGACGAATTGGCAAAAAGGAAACCAAAACATATTTATGTATCATTTAACTATATGAATACCTTATTTTGCACAAAGAGTTTTGATTTGAATATATTTTTATTGTATTTAAGGTAGTCCGATCAGGTTCGTAAAATCAGGCTTTGAATGATTGAAAATGCTCACAAAAATCACTCTGAATTCTCAAACTACCGTGTATTTATCGACGGTAATTCTTCAAACTTGATCATTTATGTTAATCATATTATATAGGGAAAGTTAGTAAATCTCAAATAAATTTTCTGGAATGCAAATAAAAACACCCAATATGTATTTTCTAATTGAAAATTAATCAACAGATATATTTTAGGATAAAAATCTATACCTGGTAGGTATTCAGACATTTCAAGAAAATTGCATGATTTGTATACCTATTTGGTACTTTAGTTTCTTCTACATGTAATTACTTCAATTATTTTATAATGCATAGTGTATAAAGCGTTTCATATCATTACAAAACACCATAAATCACTTCTAATCTCATATCATGCCAATAAACATTGGTAAGGCAAAATTAAAGAAAACTGGATTTCTTTAAATATGTCATTTTTAAAAATACTTTTATGCGGTACAAATATAAACTTTTTATAAGTCCGTTTCTAAGACTTCAAAGAACCTTGAATCCCATTGAGATGCATATAATGAAAATTATTGCATGAAAAGATTTCAATTTCAAACTTTATTTTGAGATTTTTTTAAATTAAATAATAAATTAAAGAGTTAACGCCCCTGGCTGAGGAGCGGATATCCTTAAATGAACAATAAAAAACATGCTGCTTCATAACCGTTCTTTACAGTTTTTAACAAAAATACGTTTCAAATCTCTCTTACAATTAGTCAATTACTGTCCTTTTATGGTACTAGTAAAGAAAGGAAATATGATATACGTTACAAACAGTATACGTGTAGTACAAAGATATGAAAGGGCACTAACTCATAGAAGGGGTCATGGGATCCTTTCGCACTGAATAGATCGAAGTTTTGTCTCGAGAAACTTAATATATTAGTGGAGGTTTAGTGTCTCTATGGTTTACAGTTTCAGAGGAGTTGCGATAACAAGGTATATAGTATAGTATTTAAGGTGCAAAGATATTTTACATATATTTCAAGAGAACAAGATAAAAAGAGAGCTAAATTTCTCATATTTTCAATATCCTTGACCTTTGACCTTGACCAAAGCCCCATGTCTCTATGACTATAGAAATTTTTTAAATAGTTTGTAAACATCAAAAAAACTTTCAGGGGCAATAACTCCTTTGCACTGAATAGGTCAGAGTCGAGCGTCTATGAAGTTAGTCGAAGACATTGAAGATGGCTTGGTACAGTATCTCTATGGTTAACGGTTTCGGAGGAGAAGCGATAACAAGCTTTTATTGCAAATGGGGTAATAACTCCTCAAGGGTCAAAGTTCATATACGCAGGGTCAACAGCAAAAATATTTTAAGGAGTACATTCTCTTGAACTATAAATCTTTTTGATAAATCTTGAAACTCAAAAACATACTTGGCGTAAAAATGATAATATAATAAACAAAACAATTTCAATAGGTCTTTCCAGAGAAAGGTGGAAAGACCTAATAAACAGAACAATTTCAATAGGTCTTTCCACAAAAAGGTGGAAAGACCCAATCAATAAATTTTGCAAATAAACTCCAAAACGGGTGCACCAGAGTTCTTACTTACTGCTCTAAGAATACACTAAATACAAGATGATGTCCGTAAACTATATTTAGATTTCACTCGCATACTAAGTATCGTACATTAAATTAAAAGTCTACTTTCATTTTCTATAAACAGCCACGAAATAGCAAAAACGTGAGTACGGTGGCGGTTCCAGTTGGCGGATCTAAATTACTGTCAATTTTTAATGAAACTGACAACAAGCAATCGTTTATTTATTTCATAAAACGTCATCACTGAATTATTCAATCAAAACTTGATTTTAATGACATAAAAGAAATAAGTTGTGATAACCGACTTAAAAGGGAAATGTGCAAATTATTTTCGTCATTCACCGATCTTAATATTGATGGAAGCTTCTAGAACATCATAAGGCATCGAGTCCGATGTTAAAAAAAAACGAAGCGATTATAGCTGCATGAACATAAAAAAAGCTTTTTTGTAAATGTTCATTGAAATCATTGGTAAATCATTGATAACATTATAATTTGTGAATATATTTATATATCGAAAGACTATTAGTAGGTTATTCCTAAAAAATTTATTGGTAAAATTTGTACATTCCTCACTAAGAGCATCGTGGGAAGGAACCCGAAGTACAATTTGTACTTCGTAATAAACTTGCTTACATGAAAAGAGAAATTTAATGAATAAGGTATTGTTCAAATACAATTAAAGCTGTTAAAATTTTGTGCTTTAACCAATACATTTCATTTTTTTTTATGAATACAGTCTTTTGTATCAAATACTCGGCCTATTCATAGGGCATTAAAGGCTAATATTTAAAAAAAAAAAAAAAAAAAAAAAAAAAACAACAACAACAACAACAAACAAACAAACCAAAAAAAAATTTTTTCAGTATAATGTGCATATTCGCTGCTTTTATCCTTAACGGAAATGAAATAAGAGCACCTGCATGAAGTACAATATGAATAACATAGTATAACAGGTTTCACAATAAACGTCAATTAAAGAAATAGTCATTTTTCAAGTTTTTACAAAAAGGGGGAGCGGAGTGGAGACATGCATTTACTTCATCCAGGATTTTTAAAGTATTTCTTCCCGCTATAAGCCTGTATAGGCTATCAGTAGAAACTACAATATACATGTATATTATTGGAATTTTTTTTGTCGGTATTGGTATAAATTCAATTTCCCGCGCTTGCGCGGGATTTCTTCTAGTATTAATAATAATAATCAGACGAGTTTTTAAAAAAGAAAATAGATTTACTTCTCGAGGTTTGATATTACTTTGTATAAAGTAGAAATGGAATACACATATACAAAAAATAAATGTACATATATCTCCGTCAGACGCTTCCCGATCATTGAAGTGCAACAAAAATGAATTTTAAATAAGGTATACAAATGCATTTGACTTCCAGTAGGCAGCGACGTTTTAATCTTCGTAAAACAGTCAAACGGTGACGTTTGCTGAACAATTTGTTTCAGAGGGGACTGTCGGTGCACACCGGTAGCGTTTTCCTCGATGAAAGGTTGGGTTTACGTCTCCTCGTGGTTGTGTGTAAGGAACATCGAAAAGTCCTTAATGTTGAAATGTTCTACAAAGTTTATGGTATATTAATTTTTTCGAAACATTTTCCCAAAAATTCAATTGATTCCAAGATTTACGAAAACGGCGTGTGACGTCAAATCAGTATACGAGCTTCACAGCTAATAAACGAAGGTGATGCATGCATGATTTACCCCAGTAAATTTTTAAATTCATTTAAGGTCAAATGTGAATTGTATCAAAAAATTGAGTTAATGCATTGTAAATACTAAATAGATCGGAATTTTTGGTAAATGTGTCAGATTCATTAGCAAATGATTGTATACATTCTGTATGAATACATACGTACAATATGAACCATGATTAGAATGTCAGCATATAGTAATGCAAATATAAAAAACATGCATGACAACTGCTATTCATGACGCCATGATTAGTGAAAAATAGTATTCTTGACGTTATCCCCAAACTTCTCGAGCAAAATCTTGACACCTTAAACCACAACGTCACAATCGGAAGGACGTCGTCGTTTACACAGAAACTGGTGACGTTTGTCGATTGTCTTGAATCTTTATGTTATGGAACCTTTAGCAACAACAAGTAAATGTGTACGATATGAGCATCGAACCTGAACCTAAAAAACGTAAAATGGAGCCGCACATTGGAGGTGATAATGGGACTATCCAGAATGATTCTTCGAAATCTGCTCACAATTTGGCTTCTCAATCAGCGAGTGGTGATTTTGGAGCGGACGATTTGCACCAATATGTAATGGCATTACCAGGAGACGAAGGAGTGTCGAACCCTGCTAACTACAAGATTATTCGTCAAGGATGTGCCCTAGGGGACGAATGGGTTCAAACCTACCCTCCCCCTCTAAGCTCGTATCCAGCTCGAAGCATAAAAACCGGAAACAGTTTCTATGATAGTTTTGTTCACAATATTTCAAAATTAGCTGGTCTTCGACCCCTGAGAACACTAGCTAGAGGTAGATCAGGGGCAATTATATTAGCACAGGATCTGCACAAGACGAACCATTATAAACAGAGCGAGTATATTCCAGTGGTCCTCAAATTGAACTCCTCCAAGCCGCGACGGAAACCCAAAATCCCAGTCAAAACAGATATGGATGAGGAAATGAGGATTTTCAAAGAGTTAAATCATTGTAACATTGTTTCTTGGATTAGCAACATTAGCTATCATGGCCGAATTGGAATCGTTATGGAATTTTGTGAAAATGGCAACTTGGAGCAGTTACTGCGACTACACGATGCACGTTTTTTAACGGAACCCGTATGCAGGAGATATTTCAGAAATATCTTTGACGCAGTGGAATATATTCACCTACAAAATATAGCCCACAGAGATATCTGTACGCAAAACATTTTCATAACTTCCCACAATACTTTAAAATTAGGAGATTTTGGGCACGCTGTGTATTTCTTTACAGGAGATCAGTTATTTGAGGATGAGTGTGGAACCATTGGGTTTCAGGCCCCAGAAATAGTCAACAAGCAAGCCTACAACCCTAAATACGCTGACATTTGGTCATTGGGCTGTACCCTGTATCTTATGTCTACCGGTCGGCTTCCTTTGGGAGTCATTCCTGATCAAATTAAGGAGCGTGCACCCAAAGAAATCCAGTTTCCGGAGAAACGTGTTTTGGATATATCGCAACCTCTGAGAGAGATCGTCCGTGGTGCCCTCGCCTTTAATCCTGGCTTACGCTTTACTTTGAATCGGATCAAACATTGCGATTGGATAAAGGATTCCTGTAGTAAAGTCCAAATAGGAAACTTTCACATAATCCGGCAACCTCGGAAGATCCGAGAAGGGGAGGTGGAACAGGCGCTCAAGAAGCGATATGAAATCTAAGTTTTTCTATTCCTGGAGAATCTTCAATCATGTATCTCATTACCGTTATGTGTTTCTCATTTACTTCTTCAATATAAAAAAATCAGTCAATGCAAATTTTAGTAAAACAATTTTTAGCCCAATTTTAGATGTCAAAGTAACTTTTTATTGCATATCAGGTCTTTTAAACCAAACTGTGTTAATATATCATATGAAAGAAATTACCCAACAATTTTTTTTAATTGTTCATTACGTTTATTAAAAAAAAAACTATTGAATATTCTTAAAAAAATTCTTTAGACTTTTCATATAAAGTATACATTGAAAAATGTATGAGCGATAAAGATTTTCAAATTTGAACATCGTCAATATTTGATTCTTTCAAAAATATGTCGAGGTTTGAATCAAGATTGTTTGACAACAATAACAGCATAGAATACTCGCGAAAAAGATTCCGTCAAATTAATGTACGGGATTTTCAGAAGCATCGATCGCCTTATTAACGAAGCCAGTTACAAAACTGAATAATGAAAGAAGAAAAACATTTTTCACCGATAATGACCGGCAAAATAATGGAAATGTTATAACAATAGAATCTGCGCAATACCCTAAGTTAAAAATATTCCTCTTGTTTATTCCGTAGACGTCTTTTTCTTTAGCATTCGACGGTAACATGCTCATTAATTTTACAACGTTCGATATTGTAAGATATTTCACTTTTAATAAAAAGTGGAAGCAATAATTACTGATAACGAAGCAAACTTGCGTAACAAAAAAAAAAATCTAGACGCACTATTTCCTTGAAGGAATTTATTGAGTATAGGATGGTGTGAAGTTTAATGTTAAAATACATGTACGACGTAAATGCAGTTTGATTAAATGTGTTCAAAAAGATATTATAGCAATCCTTGGGGATGTTTATTTTTTCTTAATTTCAACTTAAACATAGAGAACTGTATGTACGAGCTCGAGTATATATTTAATGTGCTAAAGAATAATTTGTATTTTAAAAGAGACTGAACATACAAGAATTAATTTTATAGAGTCAATATTCCACATTCTAATCACAGGATAAATTGCCTGACCCTCAACAATGAAAAGCAACTCTTAAACTGATTAAAATAAAATATTAATTATAATAAACTGCTTGGCATCAAAATATTTTATACAACAATATTTTATGCTTCTTTGATTTGTAACGTTTTCAAACCACTTGGAAAAAAATTGGTTCAGATATAAACTTGTTAAACAAAGAGAAAACCTTGTTATTTTTATTTTTACCAAAATCACATTTGTTTAAAAAAAAAAAAAAACACTCATATAACTATTTCTAAGGAAAAAAATATAAAAAAATGTAACTGAGATGACATCAATTTAAAGATACCACGTGCAATTTAGATAATTACACGTAGCTTATGAAAACCGAAGTTTCGAAGGATTTTATTAAAATGTATAATATACTAGTATTTTGGTAAGACATGAGCGTCTTGCAAATTCAAGGATGCCTATATCTTTTTCTTTCGAAATTGTTTTAAGGTAGGTCGCGGGTTTACTGCATAAAAGTTCTTACGAGAAAACATCCTGAAAATTTGATATAATGTTCCTTAGAATTTGCGGCATATTATCTGAATTTTTTAATTAAATTTGCCTACGTGGTTTTAATGCTACATTACTGTAAACGCGGTATAGTTTTCGGTACTATTTTTACGCTTTACTATAGAAATATATAGGAAAATAACGTTTTTAAAACAATTTTATCGAAAGAGTTTCTTAAGAAAAGGTCGGATAACTTTTTAAAGACGTAGACAAATTACTCAGAAATTTCAAAATATCAAGATGAGGTAAAATTAAAACTATTGAGGTAAAAAAAAAATCAATATGTCTTCTCGCTAGTTTTTTGCTAAATAATTTCAAAGTTTGCTTTTATATTGCCAAAATGTTGCGATTAAGGCGTTATTTATGATTAAAACGTCATATACTGAACGTAATCGCGTCCACATATAAGTATCTTTATATTTGGAATATACAAGATTTAAAAGGTGACATAGATGCACACTGCAATTTTATTCAGCATTTCACTTATTGCGGAAACTTGTTAGGAAGAACAGCAACTTATCTACTCTAGTATTGTGAAATTCATGTACTGTTCAGGATGTCAGAATGAATGGTATATTGATATAAACATTCATCGTGCATTAGAATTAATATGCAGCGACAACATTGCGATTGATAATATATTAATTCAAGTAATGTTGGGATGTTCAAGTTCATTATTAAGTTTACAAGTATAACACGTGAATTTTATCACTTCATTCGAAATCGGTAAAGAAAAAAACCCCCACCCCATTACTGAGGTAAGGGGGGGGGGGGTTACCGGCAATGATCGTATATAGTATATAGTCCAAACTCTCAAACATTTGTTTTTTCTTTATCACTTTTTCATCGGGAAAATGTCAAATTCTTGCAATCAGCTTACATACAGAACAGCTTAATTTTGTTATATAGAAAAAAATGTACTCGATACTAGTACTTGTATTTCGTAATACGTGTAGTATATTATTATCTGTTTACAGTGTCATAAAGGTCTGATATGCTGGGTGTTTGTATGAATTTATTTAAGGAATCACTGTCTAGTTAGTAGAGTATGCCAGGGCATCAACGATAGTTGGAAACGTGGGATAATTTGCATAACGGGCGAAATAGTTGGAAACGTGGGATAATTTGCATAACGGGCGAAGCCCGTTATGCATAAATTATCCCACGTTTCCAACTATCGTTGATGTCCCTGGCATACTTAAATTACACTAGGCCTCACATGTCAATTCAATAGTTCCCCGCCCACTGACGTCAAACACAAAGACAGTCGCACGAGAATTACATGCATATTAGGCCTCCTTAGAGTCAGACACAAAGGCAGCCGCACGAGAATTACACGCATATTAGGCCTTCTTAGCTCCTGACCTTTCGCTTGGTGAAATTTGCATTCCGGTAGAATGGTCAAGAAATCAACTCCTCTAACTTTCAAAGAGTTATCACAGAGAAAACAAATAGAAATGGAAATATTTTAACATGTTTAATGTATTTCACTATGATAAATCAATTCCTTGCTAGCCTGCATATAGAGAACGACTTTATCAGATTCAAATACAAAATATTTAAAAAAAAAAAAAAAAAAAGAAGAGGAAAATGCATTTAATTAAATTTCATCCGTTTTTAGTGTTGAGGATTGACTTTATCCTAAAAATAACAAATTTGTTTGTTGTTTTTTTTTTTCGGCTGTGATGAGCAAAATAGCGTATTACGCACCTTCCCTTCGTTGCACATTACGTGCATACATACAGCCTTTCAATTTTTCGGCTTAGCAATTTACGGTAACTTTCTTTTTGTATGCTATATCTTTAATTTAACACTGACTCATTTTGATTGACCTTTAGCAGTTTAGTATCATTTACAATGTAAGATTCTATAGCTTAAGGTATGTCACTCGTCAGTTTTTTAGAAAATTTCAGTCAGAACCTCTTACTTAAAAACAATTTATTACAATTCAATCTTTATAACATATTTAAATTAAACAATGTAAAATGTTCAACATTCAGTTAAAAAACTGCTCAAAAATTCATAAAGAAGCAAGATTTATAAGGGACTATTTCTTGTGGTGGAAGGATATTTAGCAGAAAATTCTGCAAATCTACACATTTATTAAATTTAATATCTTGGAACTTACATGTAAGCCTCACATACTTTTACTTAGAGAATATTTTCCGTTATGATATGCCTGGGATATTAAATATAGGTCTCAATTTATATTTTTATAACAAAATGTACACCTTCTCTCAACAAGTTTTGCCAAGAAATGAAGATATATTAAGGAAGTCGAGATAAAATTTACACAGTTTTTTGCCTTAAAATCGCATATTTTGACCAATATTTCAAAATTTACATCACTGACCCCAACTTTTTCTTTCATTAATTTAAACTACTCGATACTTTTGACCGATCAGCACTTAAGTCGTAAAAAGTTTGATACAAAAAAATATTCTATTGCCTATTTAGATACCCCAAATATGAGACTCTTTTAGTGCAAAAAGGTCACACAATAATTTACGCGCATTAATTTGCATGATTTGTTCAATGGTAAATATTATTCAAACTATTTTACGTAAAATAAGATTATGTTTATTGCCATGGTTACATGTGATAAAATATGATAATGGTTGAAGTGATTAACCAAAGAGTTACAATTTAAGTGCAAAAAGGTCAACTTAATTGTACCGTAGCTCAGTTAGATGCACACTGATCCCCCCATTTTCTCTGCGATTTTGAGTCATACTATCTGAGTACTTATCCAAAATATACTTCTCAAAAAATCCTTGATATAACAAATTTCACGAGTGACATACCTTAATTAATTTTCAGAGAAATAAACGCAAAGCAATGCAACGTCGCCTTTGTGACGTAACTGACGTCATAATCAAATGTGCACAAAACAACCGCTCGAATCGTCGAGATTGTGTACCGAAATTGATGACAAAAGCAAACAAGCGACCAGTTCACGCTTTATAAACCGCGAAGCGGTTTATTAAAAAAGCGTAAATTACCAACCCACTTTATACCGTATTTTGGGTAGCTATGAATTTCATTCCTTATAATTTAATTTTCATTCATTTAACGTAAGAAAAAGGATGGTTGTCCTTAAAAAATGACTTCAAACTGTATAAAATTTAATAGTAACATCAGGCGGATCGATACGTTTTTGACGAGTCATTGTGACGTAGGCAACCCAATTTAAATTTTTTTATGCAGTCAAATACCACGTTATAACCTGAAATAAATTATAACAATTTCAAGAAGAAAAGACTTTTTTATATAAAAATTTCGGAAATAGCTTGAGTTCCTCGATTTTTCCTGTGTAATATAATTATTTAAGTATGAAACAAATAGCAGACACAAACACATTTTTCTGTGATCGAGTGATGAGATTTTTGACAATAAGAATGGGGGAATGGATAACTGTGACAGTTTATTGTAAACCATTCTTCATTTTCCATTCAGTTTACTCCAGAATGCTAGAGATTCACGGCAAGATACTTTTGACTTTGCGCCGCGAGGTATATAAGGAGCGAAGGGACGTTAACCGAGGCTCTTACTTGTAGGAGTACCATAATTCAGTTTGGATGATCCTAGTTTTAGTCACAGAAAAGTAAAAAAAAGTCGACAAATCAAGAAATTTTCTCCTGCACACTGGATTTTAATGATCATTATAGCCTCATCTAGGAGCATTTAAACATTGCAAAATTCACAATGCACAAAAGAGTGAGGTGCCACAAAATGAAATCGTTTGAATTCTACCTTACATGTGACTTTGATTAACTTCCTGCTGGTGAACCAGTTACATGTATCTCTCTTTTATAATGAACATTACTTTTTATCATTCTCTGTGTGACTTTATCAAGGATAGTCTTAGAGTTATTTCATTTACATGTACTTTCAATTCTTTTTCAACATGTTTGCTTTCTGTTCGATTCTAGTTGCATCAAGAACTATTTACTTTCAATTAAAGTGCTGAATTGTTTCGAATGTCCTTACGATAGTTTGTAGATTTACCAGCCTACTAAACAGTTTGGAAATGTGTATATAAATATAAATAACAGTCTATTGAACAATCCATCCCCACCACTCACAAGGACATCGTAGTTATATTTGGATAGAAAAAAAAAATTGTATATTTAGCTCACCTGAGTCATGAGCTCTAGACATTATACTCTCAAAGACTATGACATTATATTCTAATGTCTTTCTGTCGTCTGGATTAATGGTTGTTCGTCTAACCGAAACAAACACTGATAAGTATGTTTTCAGCTATTCTAGGTAGTGTTTTCATTTTCAAAAATTGACATCTTTGTCCTCTAACTGTCTTATTCTGTGGGAGTGGATTCTTAGGTTCGTTGTTATTTCCGACGTTTCTATAATCGCTGCGCCATATTCTTTCTTTTTTTTCCCCAATTTATTACAGTTACAAGATGACCGCCATGAATGAAATAGTTTCCCCATGCCCTCTGAAACTGCAACATTAACCTGTTATTGCCAGGTTTTAATAGGTTGGAATGAAATAAAATGCCTGCATAATATATGTTAAACGGTATTGAAGTTCATTAAATGACAAGATGATCGAATGTTAATGCTATTTACATTAGTGATGTGATAGGCTCATATATACAACCCGTATTGACAAGGAATGAATTAAAAAATATCCGTGAGTTCTATACCTATGAGGGAAATTATCAATACCCAAACTGTCATTATACAAAACAAAAAGGAAGAAGCGTCCCTGGTATCCCGAATTTCTCTTCTAACCAGAAAGCTACGCAAAATGACATACAGCAATAGCACGTGTTACTTAGTACTACATGTCCATGTAAGTATACTGTAGTCCAGTCTTTTTAACATCTACTGAGTACTTTTTTTTAAACGTTCGTTAATTGGACTCATTTTACATGCACTGATTTATTGCATGCTAACTTGCTGAATCTGCTATCAGAAAGCCTCTCCAGTTTAGGGCAAAAAAAAAAGCTATTGGGAAAGGTTTGAATACTGAAAATCATTTTTCCTCCTTACCGATTTTTAACTAGGGCTTTGGAATCGATACAGAACAAATTAACTCCCCTTTAGTCCCAGTATCTAGACATGTTGTAGTTTTCTAAAATAATATAACCTGTAAGAGATAGTGTCCGTTATCTTGTGGTTTTTGCTGAAGTTTGTTACAGTATTTAAAAAAAAATATAAATGTACAATTCCCTTGAGTTCATGCCAGTGGATTTGCAAAAGTTAAAAGCGCAAATATTTTGAAAGCTTTATCGAATGATAAAATCGCAAATAGTAGTATTCCAAGAGGAAGAAGTTACCGGTTAGGTGATATATCAAATGACTCATTTCATAAGTTGTCGATATTCCAATAAAAATGGGTATAGGGGTGGACGAAGGGAGGTTGGAGCTAAACACTTATACATATCTATAACTTTGGCATTATCCTAACTTACCTTCAGTGTCAGTTGAGACGGTGCTTCCTAGAACTTACAATACATCCAAAGTTACATAATTCAGAAAAAAGGACAATTCAAAAATGATCACCTTGTCTTCAGATCGGGCATTTTTTACCAAAATGAAATCAAAAGTACTTGCAATTGAATAAATCAAGAGAAATCAGGAATAGAATGTTATAAAATGAGCCAATTATTTTAATAAGGTGAGATTTTCGACCCTAGAGGAATAGGATCTGAGAATAATGAGGGTGCATTTGGGCGCTCTGTTTTAATTAGCACTAAGGCAGTAAGTATAACGAGAAAAGTCACAGCCAAAATTTCACTAACGAGAAGGGTCCATGTTTTTTCAACAAATCAATGCCGCCTTAATGAGACTTCCGTCTACCGGGATCTGCTAGTTGGATTCGTGCATTCGACGTTTGGCAGTATTTTATCAATATCTTTATCTAAGATCCATCGATGACTTTTAGTATATTCTGTATATCTTATATCTACAGACACATAAACTTGGACGCAAATGAGGGGAGACCAAATCATTACCACAGTCACGTGACCCTTTAACGATATCTGATATAGCGCTCACTCTACATCCTACGTCATGACAAATTCTGATCAGTTTTATGCATTGTTATTGTGTTGTTGATACAATTTTTTTTTTTTTTAAAGTTTCTTCTTTATTATTTTTTTTTTTATTTTTACCCATTACAAACTATAATAATCAAAAAAGATAAAATTTAATAATACAATGTACTCATGTAATTGAAAAAAAAGTAGTTGATAAAGATAGCTGTACATATAAATGTTTTTGTTCATGTTTTCTGTTGTATATTTATAAAAAAAAAAAAAAAAAAAAAAGGTGTTCATTGACAAGACGGTTTCTGTGGGTGATATACATTGTATGCACAGCATGCATTGCAACAAACGTGACTTGCTTATTTAGATATATCAAATTAAAATGTCATTTTTTTTCTCGATAAGAAATCTTTGACCATGATCCCCACAGCTCAAGATGGATAACTCAATTAGCAGGTCCTGTTTTTAAACAAATAAGCAATCAGAGTTGTTCCTCTTTTACTGTACGAGCTTTGTCTGTGTAAGCGCACGTAACCAAAGAACAGAACGAGATACAGATGAGGTTTTGTTTTTGTTTTTTTATTTTTCTAAATCACGCATATCAGCCAAAAATAGTTCTTTTGTACGTGAAAACGGTTGACTGATCAGACTGAAATCAATGAAAAACAAGAAAAAGATAAAAGTTCTTAGTTCCACAAAATTTTCTAATTAGAGAACTATATGAATATACAGTGTTACAAGATTTTCAAGGCTCATATACTTGAAAAGTGTGAGTGACAATTTTAAAGACTATTTTGATAGACATCCCTTTGTTAATATCATGGATCGACATTAACAGTTGCCCGATTGCCCGGGACAAGTAAATTCTCAGTTTGGGCAAGTGAAATTGTCGACGTACTTGTCCGATCGGGCAAGTGAATTTTTCTCATACAAATGTACATATTTATTTAGTTTACATTAATTTATAAATAACACAATAAATTGAACACTTGATATCCACACCACCTGGATGACAATGTTTTTGCATTCAGAATTCCTTGGTAGCGTTTCTGGGTTATACCGTTCATTTAAAAATCGGGTTCGTAATTTTCTTTCGTAGTAAAAACGCTCTACGTCTAACAAAATTTTGTTAACTTCTTACTAGGAAATTACATTATTTATTCACGCACAGAATATAAGTACAGGGTAACACGATGTATCCTGATCAAGATAAGATGCATGTTTCGTAGCAACTATCTTCCTTTAGCGTTGCTTCACAGTTATCTCCGGAAGTCACGAATCACAAAAGGATCCTACCGAAAATAGTTTTTTAAAAATATTAATTTTATGAGAAGGAAACGGAAGGTTATTGCTGCATGAAAGTGTGTATTAAAAGGTTAAATTCACAAGTACAGTGGTATATATTTATGTACAGATGCGGCATCAAAATTTTTTCAGGTAGCTCAACTTTCCAAATTGACAGTAGTGTATTTGGTCACATTTTTTCTTATAATAACATTTAAGGTAATTAATAATTTTCTTCTTTTCAAAAGTTCTTTCCTAATTCTGGGCAACAAAGTTTTGCATTCGGACAAGTCAAAGTTTGAGAACACTTGCCCGAAGGGCAAGTGAATCTGAAAGTTAATGTCTATCCCTGAATATATTGTATAAATCCATATGTTGTATCACAGGCCATCAAAACAACGTTACATACAAAACTTTATGATTATTTCTTTATTTTTTCTCGTGAAAAATTGAACATTTTCCTCTCCCCAGCAGTGAAAGCTCGCTCCTTGGAGGGAAAATTGAGTGATGTTTTCTTTTATTTTGACCTCTGTCAAACCTTTGGTGTATAATAAATCAACATTTATTTCTCTTCTAACACGTTTCCACTACACTCTCTCCCTCAAAACCCAAGGAGTGAAAGGAGAAATGAGAGATGTTTCTAATTCAATGTCCACACATAATGTAGAAAAGTATGGAACAATTTGTAGTTTTTTTTTTTTGTTTTGTTTTGTTTTTTTTTTTTTTTGGTTTTGTTTTTTGTTTTTTTTTGGTTTGTTTGTTTGTTTTTTTTTTTTTTGGCTTGTCAAGAATTTTTTGGACCCCCCCTTTCCAGAAAAAAATTTCTGGATCCGCGCCTGATGGTGAGTTTAGTACTTCAGCCTCAGTCTTTTGTGCAATGGAAAACTTGTCCTAGTGTCATTCCGATAGGAATTTGCAAAACATGGAAGGTTGTTTCTGCACGACATTACTAAAGGCTTGAAAATATACGTATCAAAGTAATCTTTCAAAATCAGGAAGGAGTTTCTTTTACGTCATTTCAAAGTCTCTACAGAATTATGAATATTGTTTAGTAAAGCGATGTCATTGTTTGTCATTTTTCGTTTATAAATGTGGTAATCCTATCCACTGACTGTAATGTTAAAGACTATTTTGTCTGAGGCATGTCCTACATAAAGATTTTTTCACCTCTGTGAAATTACATAATAGTGATTCCAGGAAGACAATTTAAAGGTAACTTAAAGGGAGTGCAGGTAATTGTTAAATAGCAAAAGATATCTACAGTACTGTTAGAGAAAAATGCGGAAGTGAAAATCACACACGGGGTAAAACCATGAAAACTGAAATGTGTTCAGAAATCAAAAATAAATCATTGCATCATCCTGTCAACAGTAATTAGGGGGATTTACAATAATTACTCACTCGGAACCGTTTAGGTTGATTGAACGTGCTGTGTATATAAAGACGAGTTGATGTTGAGTTCATTATCCGCCCTTGTATTACGAGTGGCTTCCTATTGCATCTGCTTCACTATCATGACTAACAAGGTCTTCTTTCAATTATTGTGTATATAAGGTCGCTAGAAGTCGTGAAAAAATAGAGATTTGTTTTCTTGGAAGTGAATATACCAGGAGATAGAAGAACGATTGTGAGTATCAGTTTCTAAGAATTATATACCTTTAGAAACGAAATACATAAGTTTAAAGTTTACCATCTACGCGATAAAAAATAATTTATTCCTCAGTAAACAGGTAAAAATATAATATACAGGTGTAGGATGCAATTTAAATTTAATTTTAAGGGGGACACAAAAGTAAATAATATAGTTTTCTAGTTTTCCGGACCTGAAACATCTCTAAGAAATATGCAAGGATGAACGAAGAACTCGTTAGTAATAGTAATGTTAATGGAAAAAATAATGCAAATTTAAACTTCAGTTTACTAATTTTTTGCACAAATGAAATAAATGCATGGTAACGCGACAAGAGATGGGGGATGGGGTTAAAATTATCTTCAAATTTTGCTTTTGATTGAGTTTAAGTATATATAGCAATTCATTTACATGTATACACGGACTATACACACGTCCAAGTCCGGTTTACATGTCTTCAATTGACATCAGAGGTAATTGTTATATTTCGATCAGCTGACCAGGTATTATACAACTGATCAATGTTTACTGCTAGGACATCGTTTATAATTGTGATAACCAACCGAAGTCCAGACGATGTTTTTTGGGGGCTATCTTTAAACTGTTATAATGGATAAACCTGCACATTAAAACTACTTAAGGTGCAGACAAGTTGCATTTTAACACGTCACCCGATATCACCCGAGCACGTCCTATTTCTTTATCAGTGAGGAACAGCCTCATAGGCATTCTTTTTCCACCTGGTCCCTCTCTGTATCGGAGGTTACTTTTCATCAAGGTGTAAAATCACGATAGGCAAGTCGTTTTATTATTTTTCTATTTTTTTTAGCTAATACACTTTTATTTTGTGTGTTCGTTGAGTAAAAGAAACGGCATAAAGTAGAGAAAGAGATCTCTATAATTTAAGATTTTTTTTCCAATTTTGAAACGGGGATGGGGTGATAATGGCAAATAAAAAGTACATGAACATTTCTTTTCCTTTTTTGTAACTTGTCAAATTAAAATTTCAGAAGTAACAATGGTTTCTTTAACGGAGAAGGTGGTCCTAAAACGTTACATGACCCTCCCTCAGCCCGAGGACAGGGTGATGTGTGAATACATCTGGATAGACGGCACGGGGGAGGGAATCCGCTCCAAGTGTAAGACCATGGACTTTGAACCAAAGCATGCGAAAGGTAAAAAGCCGAGATTCATTAAATTAACATGGTTTATCAAATCAATTTGAAAATAATTTCATACTCAATTTAATTTTGGGCCTTTTTTTAATGTTTTGAACAGAAACTTATAAACAAGTTCAAGCATTTTGTCTTTTTTAGTCAAAAAACTATAAGACTAGGCCCTTTGAACGACCGAAATTTTAATAAGATGTACGCACTGGTTCGAATTCTTTTTCTTTTAATTATCGATTGCTATTTTTTCAATCAGAGTGCCCCGTTTGGAACTACGATGGCTCCAGTACGTACCAGGCTGAGGGCTCAAACTCGGACATGTACCTCCATCCCGTGGCCCTGTACAATGACCCTTTCCGACTTGGCAAAAACAAACTGGTGTTGTGCGAGGTGTACAAATACAACAACAAACCAGCGGGTAAATCAATATCAACAATCTTGTTTATATATTTC